CAATGGTAGCATGAGCGGTGTAGATACGTTAAAAGTTGAAGCCAAGTACCCTGCTCTCCTTTTCAAACAGCAGCTTACAGCTTATGTGGAAAAGATATATGGAATGATTCGAGATAACTTGAAGAAAGAAATTTCTCCCTTGCTTGGATTATGCATCCAGGTATAACAATTTCTTCATTGATACAAAGTAAATTTATAAAGCTTTTCCTTTCTACATTGCCTTTCAAATTCACTGATTCAATGTGTACCATTTGGACATGATGAGATAGGCACCCAGAACATCCAGAGCGAGCTTGGTGAAAGGATCATCACGTTCAGTTGCAAACACTGAAGCCCAGAAAGCTTTGATTGCTCACTGGCAGGGGATAGTTAAGAGCCTTGGGAAATTCTTGAGTACTTTGAAAGCAAATCATGTTAGTCCAACCTCGTTTGACTTTATTCTCTTATCTTCTTTTTTAACTGGTGCTTTCTCACAACAAATTTTGCTAGCAATGGCAGTTCTGGCTCTGCCTGGCTCTGCGCATAGATAAATGAACGTCATACTAAATACATTATTATAATTTATAATGAAATCATAGGCTTTATGATGAAATAGACAATCTCCCTTTTGTCTGCTAAATTAGTCATTTTTTTTTCTCATTTCCAATAGGCTTAACAATGTCTATTTAATGTAAAATGAGTAAGGTTTGATTTTGAACTCTATATAATAGTCTTCAATCTTTTTTTTTTAAATTTAAAATTACTAGTCTTTATTCCTAATATTGATATTAAGATAAATAACATTTATTTAGAGAGTTTGCAAAACTTTTCAAAGCTTCACATGTCAACATTTTATCATATGCCAAGGGTCACTTAGATGATCACTTGACTATTCAATAAACACATAACACTAGGGAAAAAAAACATTTGTTTTTTTAATTTTAGAGTGACAAAAAATAAAGAAATTATTTTATAAAGAACAAAGTAAATAAATTTATTTTACGTGGACTGAAAACATATTTATGTCTTTGAAATGTTATATAAAATGGAGCTAGTATATATCGGAAGTGTTCTACATGATTTTGTGATACTGGATGAGGTAAATTTATTTTATCTTTTTCCATCGTTTTTTCTTTGGTGAGCTATTATTATTCAGGTATTATTTAGTGTTGTTGGAGTAAAATAAGTTCGTTCGGCTTTATCCAATCTCTGCTTTGTTTTGGCAGGTTCCCCCATATTTGGTTCGTAAGGTATTCACTCAAATTTTTTCTTTCATCAACGTCCAACTTTTTAACAGGTTAGCCTTGTCGACTTCCGTTGTATTGGGGTTCTTTTTGGTTCTGGAAATCTAAGTCTCCTTTTTATAATGTCGCATCTTCATTTTTTTTTGTAGTCTTCTTCTAAGACGGGAGTGCTGCTCATTTAGTAACGGAGAATATGTGAAATCTGGTTTGGGTGAATTGGAGGATTGGTGCTCTGGTGCTACAGATGAGGTGCATTACTTTACAGTGCTGTTATGCTTTGCGATTCTTTCTTTTAATAAGGTATAAATACTAACCTCACCCCTCCCTTCTCTGTCGGGGATGCAGTACTGTGGTTCGGCATGGGATGAGCTCAGACATATAAGACAGGCTATTGGATTTTTGGTATCTATCTTGCCTGTATCCATCTGCATGGTCTTGTTCTAATGGTCAGATAGTAAATTTTAAAAACTGGTGTTCCCAATTTAGGTCATACATCAGAAACCAAGGAAAACTCTGCATGAAATAAGTCATGACCTCTGCCCAGTAAGTTAAAGCATCTTTCACTTTCTACTTTAAAATTCACTTTCCCGAATACCTAATATTCTTCACTATTCACAGGTCCTCAGCATACAGCAGCTGTATCGGATTAGCACCATGTACTGGGATGACAAATATGGCACACATAGCGTATCCCCTGATGTATGTCTTTATACTATTACTCAAACTAGATTTAAAATCGTCTATGCCAGAAAGCCATGATAACTTCATATCGAAGACGTACATAAAAACTATGATGAGCTTTGTGTATCTTTGTTTTCTTCTAGGTTATATCCAATATGAGAGAGTTGATGACTGAAGATTCTAATAACGCAGTCAGTAATTCTTTCCTGTTGGATGATGATTCAAGGTAAGCCGGGCATTGTTCAACCATGAAATAAAAGCTGTTCAGATTTTCGTCTTGTTTTTTAAACTCTTACTAATGTTTTATTTGGCTCACATTTAATGTTCCATGAATGACCAATAATTCTCATAATTAGTTTAAATTAAAGCTATAACTAAGTGCAAAAAAAATAAGACAACTAATGTGATTGATCTTGTGGCGCCTCCAAGGGCTTAGCTTGGCAAGAGCATTGCAGTGTGCTCCCTTCAATTCAACTCAGATATCAATTGCTAGGCTGTTTTTAGTTATGATATTCGAAACTAATGAATTAAAACCCTGTACAAAAAGTTCGGGTTACCGTTACATACAGGTGGGGCGAGTTGAGTTTTATATCTCGTCCCTTTTCTCAAGAATATAAAACTCACCCGTAGAGACTAAACTACAATTACCATGCTCCTGCATTTAACTACCAACTTATTTTTATGCCTGCACATTGACTGGAGAGGAACCACAGGTGTATTTAATTTTTACTGAATAAAATTTTGATTTTAGTGAATATAGTAGAATAAGACCAAAACTCTATCTATATTAAAGGCTTCTAGTTATTATATTAAAAATTTGACATTGACATTTACCGTGTGTAAGCATATGCTTTGCAGCATTCCGTTTTCTGTTGATGATTTGGCGAAGTCGAAGGAACTGATCGAGATGTCTGATTTAGATCCCCCACAACTATTACGTGAAAACACTGGCTTTAGTTTTCTGTTGCCACGCCCAGACGGACAGATTTCGTAGCAGAATTCACCGAATGCCACTCACCATTGTCCAGACATGAAACCATTTTTAGTTAGATTTTATTACGGGGAAACTGATTTTTTTTTCTGCTTTGACTTCCACAAAGAATATTGTATTCATTAGAAATTTATCTCTTTCTTTGAAAAGGGGATGACATAGTAGACCTATCTTTTGGGTGGGAGTCAAAAGCATACAAGTCCTTTCCCTAAAAATTTCCCCGTCCTTTTTATCCGCATTTGTCACTCGTTGGTACCTTCTTTTTCGTAGGATGATAAGATTTTGTACGTAGAAAGATAGGAATTTCACCAATACTTCTCTTAACAAAAGACATTGTTTATGGACTTTATGGCTTTACTTAAGTTTTCGTTTTATTTTATTACTTTCGAGTTCTATTTTAGCCTGTTACTGTCAAACAAAATGAATTTTGATATATATTCTTTTAGGTTCTACACCCAATCAAAATTTTCACCCATCCCATCAAGAAGCTTTCCGGAAATATTTTCCGTAATAGAAAAGGAAGATTGCTTTCCGGAATTATTTATTGTGTTCCGGATAATAGTTTTCGGAAGTGACGAGGAGATGGAAGAAATCTGGTGGGGTGTAGGAAGTACTAGTCATTCTTTTAATAATAAGACAAGGAAGGGCCCAGATTACTTCATGATGACATTACATATATCTATAATTTTGTTTCATATAATTTTTTTAATGTTCGCTTAGATTTTGAAAATTTATTAACTATGCTTTTTATGATAAAAAAAACGAGTTTGCCAAACTGAAAATTAACAGTTAAAAAACAATGAGTAATCGATTAATATTTGCAATTTTGTAATAATCTGAAGAGGTAACTCTATTTATCTATCTATCACAACTAACAATGTCTTGTTATTCTTATAAGCAATTAGGCCTCTTCCATTTTAGTCCCTTTATATTTTTTCACTTGTTACTTTGAAAAAAATAAGCATGAATTAAGAAATGTAGTTAATGTTTGAACTTTCTAATATGATGGACATTAACCTTTGTTTCTCCTATATGATAAAATTGTTAAGTTTTAAAATAAGCATAGATGAGGACATGATCAAAAAATAAAATTGAAACTATCATAAAGGATGTTTGTATAAAAAATCGATAAATTGAAAACAAACGGGAGAACATGGTATTATAATACGTACTGCTATTCAGTTCGAGTACTAGTAATATTCCGACACATTTGAGGAATCCCGTTATCTTTAACAACAAATGCAATTTAAAAAATTACATAAAAACAGCGTTTAAAAACCTTATATATCTCCCCATCTAGACTTTTTACTGCTCAATCATATTCTTTCTTAAAATGATAAAAAAATAATATAAATCTTTTATATTAATTTAATATTATCTTTCATTATTTTTCTTTCTCTTTTTTATTTTATATTTACAAAAATTCATTTTCTTATGATTCTTTTCCAGTTACAATTATTTTTTATAACTATTTTTTCCTTACAATGTGTATTAAATAAATATCATATGTCACCATATTATTATTTATAACAAAAACTTTTATATCTTGTAATTTTAAATAATGGTAAAATAACATATTTACATTAATTTAATATATATTATAAATATAAAATAATAATAAAAATTTAAGTTTTTGTATGTTTTTAAAAAATATAAAAAATAAAAGACATGTAAATTTTTGTATGTCTCAAATATCATTTATGTAATTTTATCTTCTTTTTTTCTATTCTTTTCACTGTTCCAACTAAAGATAAAATTACTTATTATTTACTCTTGCATTTTTGTCCATCCAAACAAGCTTTCTATTTTACTTCATTTGTCTACTATAATTTATATCTTATACATTACTTCTCTAATTTCCTCTTAAACAAAGTATTACCTTAAGATACTCAGTCTAAATTTTGTTTTATAAAAAAGTTTTAAAAACTAAAATTAATTAAAAAAAATCCAAAACAACTTGCTTTCATACTTAGCTCCGAGGACCCCAAAAAGGATTAGGGCTTTTACTTGTATTCATAGTAGAAGTTCCAGAAGATCCCGAATATGCACCAGCAGCATTCCTACAAATTTATATTCATTTCTTCCAGGTAAAAGACTAGAAAACATGATCTAAAAGGTAATATTTTTCATTGTTTGACAAAACACCAACCTACCGGCATGTACACCACCGAATCTATAAGAGAAGTTAAGGTCCTACTACGCCTACAATTCACAACGATCAAAGGTGTTAAAAGCTTAAGACCCCTTTACTTCTGTTTTCATTCTCTGTTCCATGTTTAATTTACAAAACTGTCGTCGTTTTCACAGTTTTCTGTAGAAAGCTTTCATAACAGGAAACAAATTGAAATTATAGACAGTTTTGTAAACTCAAAGTAAGAACATAAAAATGATAATGGAAGTAAATAAGCCCCTAAAGTTCCCTTGTTTGATGTCGTCACGAGGCACAAGGTGCGTGTGGCCAAGATGGTAGAAAGTAAGGAACTATTTTGCTAGATTCCCAAGAAATGGAACCTCCTCGACCCTGATAATTAACAACTTCCACCGTTTTAGTCTGTAAATCACATAGCAAAATGTTCCATCCTGATCTTATGAAGACAGAAGTAGAATTATGTGGAAGGAATGACAGTAGCTGGGTTTCTTTAGAATGTGTGCTTAAAGATGGCATCTGCTTCCATAATACCTTAAAACTTAATCTCCACCTCAGGACCCACTTGTACTTCACCCTAGTACAGTTGCAGTAAATGGATGAGTTGTTATCTTCTGGTTCCTTCACAAGCATCCATATCTCCACACCAATGTTATTGCTCTGACCATACAGCAAAACCCCATCCGATGACTCCCCAAGAACAGATTCCTCATGCTCACGTGTTAACACACCTGTTGGTAGTCTAATCAATGCTATATACCTGTCTCCAAGACGAGGATCATAAATGGCAAGTTTTCCCCATATTGCAAACCAGTGTACAACCCCTCCAACCACCATAGCTGCTGTTCTCGGGCGCAATGCAAAAGATGTTGAGCACATCAGAGTGGATTGCTTCCATTTTCCAGTGTTTGATGAGTAAGTCTCAATTGAGACAGTGTTGCGTTCCTTAAGCTTGCACTCACATCTTGCTCGGATCACCTTGTAGCATGTGTCACCATCAAGGCATTCCTCCACAATCAATGCCATGCACAGAACTTTATAGAACTGCTGAGGTTCTGGGAGTTGATACTTTTGCTTGGAGACTGCGTTGTACACAAAATATGTCTTTGGATGGAAACCAGAAAGAATAATGCCTTTTGAACTATCAATGAAATACCCACGACTTTTGAGGATTCCAGAATGTTTCAGATCATCACCCTCTCTACAAGTGGACAAGAACGGAAGGGCAGGCTCCCAACGAGGGCGACGGTACCCATCCCGAGGTCTTCCAAGATATAAAAAGTTGCATACAAAAAACCCCACAAGTCTGAAACTTTGCCCCCATCGTCTTGTGTACCCTTGACGAAAAGAAGAACTGCATATTACTCGCAGCCATATTTTTGATACAACAATTAATTTGGAGATCGTTGATGGCGGTATTCGAAGTAGGATCTCATGCAGTATGTCATCACAGTTAAGTGCAGAGCCATTGACGTTAATTCTTTTTATCCTCTCCATTCTTCTCAAACAACCTATATCCTGCTAAGCACAAACTAACAGCATTTTCAGAAGAGCCAAAGAGTAATACTTACTGATAATGGGATACATTAGTTCATCCATTGATAATATAATGATAAACAAATCAAATAAAATAACACCATGTTCACCAGTGGTCTAGATTTTGCAACAGATGTCAAATTTAAACCCATTTCATTCAGTGCTCAAGAAATCAGACGAAAAACCTGAGGTCAAGTTTATACACGATTTTTAAATGAATTGACATCGTTTTTTGTTTCCTGAATGTGGTTTTCTCAGTTAAAAGTGAAACATATTTATGATATTCAACTCGTTCTTCTACTTTTCTGAGGATGATAAGAAGTTACAAACACGACTTGCAGGAGGCCATTTCCTAATCAACAAGAACTAATGAATCCCACATGCATTTGGTCAAAAAATTTGAACAAAATTATTCCTTCTGTAAATAAATAAAATCTAAAACGGAAACTGAATAGCGCAGGATAATTGCATGAAAAGATTGTCCGAAATTTACAAGAAACGGAAATGGATTCACTCACTCATGAAAATTGGGGTTTCAGAGCAGAGTGATTGCGGTGCATGCTTGCCCTTGTCGATTGGTCTGATCGATGAAGCTAAAACAAACGAAGAACAATTTTTCACACAAGAAACGCTTGTATTGGTTGGGCTTTCACTCTTAATGGGTTGGATTAAATAACACAATAGAATGGACCCAATTCTCGATATTAAAGGCTTTTGCTTCCTGCACATCTATGATTACTCACTGCACTCAAACATTGAAAGTGTCTATGAAACATTTTTCTTGATTCACTCGTTTTCCCGTTATAATTTAACAGAATCCTTACCCAATTGGGTAATAGTATATTCCTTTCCTTATCTATCTTCCAACAAGAAACATCTGTAAAATATGTTTGAAACACAAAGTCATTGGAATCAAGACAATTCATTATTAAATTGTCAGCCTCTATAAAAAAAAACTACATTTAATCACAGATTTGTAATAAATATAATCCTTTTTACTTTTCTTTCTTCTCATCCTTCTTCTTCTTCTTCAGAGTGCTGAAGTATAACATCGTGAGGCTCGTATGGTTGAAAACATCACTGTGGCGCAAGATGAAGAATCTGCTTCTGGGAACTACGTTGTTATGGGAGCCATGGCCAAATATAGCACCACAAGATCAACGAAGGTAGCAAATCAACCTGAGTAGATTAATGTCCATGTGCACTTAGGCAAGTCTGATGCTTGGCTTTTCATATATGTTGTAAAATAAGGATCGATGAACGTTTTCTTTTATTATATCTTTCGATTCCACCATGATTTAACATGTATAAGTATTCATATACATGTGCTAGAATGTTTTCTTTTCTTCCTGTTACATCTATTTTAACTTGTACGAAGTTCTTGTGTTCAATATCTTTTTTTCTCTTATTTGATGTAAAATAAAACCACCAAAGTTAACTTCTGCATTGTTTCTTATTAAGTATTTAAGTGTGAGTCTAAGTTTCATTAATAAGAAGGTGAAACATTATATAAGAATGAAAAAAAACCCATTGTATTAAAAATTTTGTTTGAATTGAGAATAGTGTCAATACATATATGATTGGACTTAAGTTTCATTTGTATCTCTCTCCAAAGAACATCTCCTCTACAGAGACTAGTAAAGCCAAACTATGTTTAATTCATGATATAGACTTGTGGGTGAGAGAGCATGGTTATTTGGTGTTAATTACGTGTCGACATAGTTTTAATTACTATATAGGTTGTTAACAAAAGAAAATTCAGTTCCATATATCTATTGAGTGAAAATAACTTTAAGGTAGAGATAAATTTTAATTAAATAACTGTTTTGATACACATCTATTAACCTCTTAATAATAGGGAAAACATGCACATTTTATGAGACAAAAGTCACTGGTAAAACCTTGTTTAACAGGCACATTGTACCTTACAAATATATTAGTATATAATTATTGGTTAGAGATTACACCCACGTTAACTCAATGAATAAGTTTCAGTAAATGGAATTTAACCACGTAAAAGTGTGCTGAGATTCTATTACGTGTGATTTCAACAGAACAAGGTCATCATCTCAAAAATAACAATAATATTACAACAAAACCTCGAAAAAATACAACTACAATGCTAGAAGATAGACAAAAATTCCCTACATACATTTTTCACAAAAACAAGGTTACATATGTAATCTGAAAAAGGGAATAGATTATCGACCATAGTTTACATCAGTCACCACTTCCTACTGTCACAGTCAACATGGGAAACACGAGTTGCTGTTTCGAGTAATGTCACGTTCATCAAAGCCTTTAAGAAATGATTGGATAGCAAGATGTTCAGAAGCATATGTCATGAAAGAAGCCAAGATTATGCCACCAACAACCATCAAACCTAACCTGTTGAAAATAAATATGTAAACGTAAATTCAAGAAAATATTTCATAATAACTCAGATCTTTTAATTCCAAAACTACTTCTACATCCACTTCAAAATTAGAGAAGACACTTTAGAATGTTTCGTTGATTTTCCACGATGGTGCTACCAATGTAATATGTGATGATGCAAAGAAAAAGATCAAAACAAGATTCTAACAAGAATTAGAGAATGACAGGGAGAAAGAAGAAGCAGACACAACAAATTGGGAGTTATTTTATGGTCTCAGGGATGAAAGAAAAATGAAGAGAGAACATATAAAATAAGATAACAAGGTGTTTCCCTTTTGCCTGGTTGAAGAGAAAAGTTTACTTTTTGAAACAAAAAATTCAAAATTTTCTCATTTTCTCTTCAGTTCAAAATGGACTAGAGTCAATGATAACAAAGACATGCCACTGGGACAGCTGAGTTTTAGGAAAAAGAAAAAACGTTTTAGAAGTGTTTTGGAAAAGAAGTTACCTTGCAAACAAGGCAGTTATTCCAAAAAGACAAGGCAATGATGGAGCTGCAATGGCCAACAAAGCCATCCCTAAACCGTAGTACCATGTAGCAACGTCACAAGATGACACCTGTCGCTGATGACCTGTAATAAAGAGAGCATATATGTTCATAAAAATATTATAGCAGAAAAAAGTATCTCAGTATCAGAATTAAATGAGAAACAGAACCACAAAAGATGCTTCACTCTTGAACATACGCTTTTCAGAATCATGATCTGACAAGGAGGATGCTACTCGTGATCCCACCATTTTTCCCCACTGATAAATCAAACGGAGATAACCTCCAAATAGTATAAAGAAAATTGTGTACGTCCACTCATACATCAAAAGCAATCCAGTCCATGGCATCACTTGCCGAGGAACAATCAAGAGGGATAATCCCAGAGACACCACTGCAACCATAAAACAAACACAGACAGAAACACCACCCAAATAAGCAGGAACCTTGTTCTGAGCGCCATTCAAGAGCTGCAAGACACCATAGAAACAAATCTTAGTATGTTCAAAACATATATAAATCTAAGCATTAAGTTCAACTTAGAGGATACGCATCCTCTCATTCAAAGCCATAACATGATCAGGTCATTTGATGATATGGATAGTCAGTCACATAGACATAGTTTCCTGTGCAGGAAAGAATGTTGGAGTTGGTACCAAGGATTTGGGAGGAAGCCCCACAGAAAGGGCATAGTGTTTGTCATTCATCAAATGATTTCATCATGTGAGGTCCTTGAATGGCAAGATGCAAATCCCCACCCAGAAGACAGAAGAGAAAACCAACCTGATGGATTGAATTAGTCGCTGATGTCGAAATACTAGTATAAGCAAGTGGCCCGTTTGATCTAATCTTATAATAAAGGTGTCTAACTTGATCACATACTGAGCTTCTAAAAAATGAACTGAAGTGCCCGGGATTCTGCAGAAAATACAATTTTATGAGACTTACATAAAGCTGAGAGAGTTTAATGCTAAGAGATTGGACAAGAATATCAATCCATTGTAGCCTACCTTCATAAATGAACGATAGCATAAGAAAAGTAAGGCACATAGAGGTAGCAAAAAGAGAAATTTCACAAGAAATCTGTCTTTAGGATTTTGCCCCCCTCCAGTTCCAGGAAGTGATTCCTCAAGCTGTTCTCTTACATCCTAAACCATACCACCAAGATTAGAACAAACAAGTCAGTAATTTTCATATAACAAATGTGGTCTTTATAAATATGACAATGAGAAAATCTTTTATAACACATCAGAACGAAAAATGATAATTGACTTGCAAAATTACCTGCCACACATCAACAGGTTTCAAAAGCCAAGATGTCCACCAGTCCCAAGGCTTAAGGGGGCCCAGTGTATAGTGAATCACACGGAGTTCATTTTCGTCTACCATCCACTGGATTGATCAGCATGAAAGTTGGAATGTTAGGTAATAGGATTGAAAGATGAAAAGCTCTTCACTAGACGAAGCTATGGGGCAGGGTCATTGAACATACTCCTAAAATAGGACTTAATGAAGCAGAAATCTTAACAAGAAACTACTGATTTCTAAATGAAATCATTTTCACACGCCTATCACTAGTTATAAAAATAAGTGAGAAGAACATTTCAGAATTGATTGCAAGCAAAAGTTTCTACAGACCACACATGCCTAACAAGCAAGCTTCAAACACTAGACAATAAGAAAATGCTATGATGACAAACCAATCAACACATAGAGTCCTCGATCCATTAATAAGCTCAGATTAACATATGCTGATTGTTACATTGGTTTTCCATTGGGAAAGAGCCCAACGTATGTTTGCCTACAAGCAACTAGTTATTACTTCATTGATTGCTTGCATGAGAATTTGTGCTAGTGGAAAACCAAAAAACTGTAAAACTGCTACATAGACAACAGTGAATTTTTTATTCTATAGAAGCACTAAATAAATCCTTGGTCAACATTAATAGAGGTCACTTGAATGCTATAATTTATTCCAATGATCACAAAAACTATCCGCTGAAAAGACAGCACACATGAAACAAATCACATCTGGACAGGCATGAAAGTGTAGTACTCTATCAGACAGGATAATCATTGATTTGTGCAACCAAACCTAGTATATCTCCCATTTCAATTGAACTCAAATGAGCAGATCCGGCATAATTAAGTTAAAATGGGGAATATATCTCTCATGCCTCACTGGCTTTAATTACTCATTACCCCTTTCTAACTATATTCTAGTACCTTATTAGCAAGCATGTAAAGACCGACATCAGCATTGTACAGCGTGGATAGTCGCTCCATTTCAGGAACTGGTCTGGTATTCAACACCTCAGGACTCAAATTCGGCTCAAAAACATGTGCATTGGGAAATCCAGAGAAATATGAATTGAGAAAACCCTGATCGCCTATCAAAAGGAGAAAAAACAGTTGAAAACCATTGTTAAAAAACTACCCAGTTTAAATTATATGTAGCAATATAGCAATTAAAACGAAAAGGAAAACTTCAAAAGAACAAAGTAATTGAATATAAAACTTCCCAGAAATTGATTTTACCTCCAGTGTAAGATGCAGTAGTTTTTATTTTGCTTATCATGTCATTAAAAACAGTTTGAGATGGCTCCACCACCATGACTCCCGAGTTCAACCTCTCAGAATGCTTTAAATTTGCACAGAATTTCACACACTTGAAAAGATCGTCAATATTTTTAACCACAATAGTGTCCGCGTCAAGGTAAACAACTGCACATTAACATTCAGAACATTCAGCATATAAACACCAATAACCAACACATTGTACCCCTTATGAGAGAGAGAGAGAGAGAGAGAGAGAGAGAGAGAGAGCTTAAAACCAAAACCCTGTCTCTTTAAGTTTCAATTGATTCAAAAGCAACTAGCAACCAACTGAAAATAAAAGAAGCCTTTAACTAAGTGCAAGAGCATATCATATGCTCTCATTTCAAAAGCAAGAATTTAATTAGAACAGCAACTTTAAAAATCATACTTCATTGATTGATAGTGTGAAGTCTATATTCAGGGAGTGCATGAAAATTAAACTCGCAACATATATGATAATTATAAGTCCTCCTTATTTTTACACTAAGATGATATACACACATAAAAGGCCCAAAGAAAAATGTTACCTTTCTTGTAGTCAGTCATGTTAAATATTTTTAGCTTTGTATAGACACCCCAAAATCTCTTCGGACGCACTCGATTAGGATTCGCCAGTAAACTAATCAACTCCACTATCCACCCGTCAGCCTTCAAGAAATTCAAACACAAATCCACCAAATCAACAGTTAAAATCACAAAAGTAAGGTGTCAGCAGAAAGATAAAGTTGAAAATTTCAAATCTTGTGGAAGACCCATTAAGAAGATGATGCTGATGATTACCCGGAGAAGGCTTTTGGCATAATCAGAGACACCATCGGAGACCAACACGACCATATCCTTGCTGGATCCAGTGTTACGTATTGATTTTCCCAGAACTCGAACACCCAACAAGAATTCGTCTCCGTACAAAAGAGTGACGTAAGCTTCATCCGTTCTCTTGGTCTTGGATCCCACACACCCTTGAAATTGAACACAATATAAAAGTATGCAAATGATCGAACATAACCACCATGTAACAGTGTTTGGTTTCATTATAACTCGAATCCGATTCGCCAACACCTTCTCTCTCTCTTTTTTTCTGAGGGGCTCTGACTTGAATTTATCGTCGCGGGTTACACAATATTTGAAAGTTGAATTGAATTTTCCAGCTTTGCTTTTCTCCGTCGTCTCTGACCAGAACTCTGGCTGTCTTCTCTGGCTGCGTGCTAGCGACTTCTAATCTGCTGCTGTGAGTTCCACGGCATAACGCTGCCTCCCAGTCTAACATTTTCGAGGAAACCAAGAATAAATCGCAATAATTCTCAAAAGCCTTTTTTTTTTATTCTTTAAGCCTTCCTTTGTTCTAATATATATGAGGCACGAGAAAAAAAATTGGAAACTAAACTAAAGAGAAAATAAAAAGATTTAAAATGTTTGTTTTTCAAAATTAATTCCTTTTATTTTCTTTAGAACTAAAAGAAAATATAGCCAAGAAAACTATAAAAGGAAATAGATTATTATATGTATTTATTCATTTACATTTTTTTAGAAGTCTATTTCAGTTAAGCAGTGTCAACTCTTATAAATTCTCTAACCTACGTTTGATTCCTACCTGTGAAAAATAGTAGTAAAAATTCACTTTACAGACAAGAAATTTCCAGCTCTAGTCTTCCAGAGTGGAATATGCAGCAAAACCTTCATAAGTTTTCGAAAGCTTGATTCCAATAGTGAAATATCTCTGGATAAATAACAGTACAATTGCTACTTCTAGTGCCTTTTTGAGTTGTGATTAAGTAATTTGCTTATCCAATGAGGTTTTTTTTTCAGTTAGAAGTTTCTTAATTATCAATTAGAAGTGATTTGTTTATTTTCAATGTGGGTGAGCTTACTAATTTGATTTTAGCGATTGGGCCAATCCATTAACCTATCATAATAGTCTCTGACTAAATGACTGTATAAAAAAATTATTTAGTTTGTAACTTAATTAAATAAGCAATGGAATACGATGGGTAAGCTTAAATGTGTATTTAGACAGATCTCAAAAATAATTATTTATATTTACAAATCATTATTGTCAGAATTAATTATAAAAATAAGAATTCTATTTGAATACAGTATGTGAAAAATGGTTTTCTGGTATTTAATTTTGATTCGTTTGACATGTGAACAAAATTACTTTTTAAGCAATCATTTTTGAGATCAACTATAGCAATCATTGAAAAACCAGCATGAAATCAACTATAGCAATCATTTGATATTTAAAATAATTTTGTTCAAGCCTATATAAAACATGAATATTCGTTGTTCTTAATTTAATATTAATGGTTGAGATGAACCAATAATACACAACAAGGGTTAAGACCTCTCTCGTACACTGTCATCTATGTGGTTGTGTAATGGCAATGGCTTCATCACCAAGATACATGGGTGCAATCATCTGAGAAAAAATTGGAGTGAAAACAGAAAAGATTAGCCTTGTGGTTAGTGGATGCTACAGATCTGCAGGACCAGTTTAAAGATTTTTTCGTCCTAATTGCCAAGTTAACTGATCAGCAGCTGCCATAGCACGAGATGCTGGACCGATGGAACCTTCATACCTGTGAAACTGAATGATGAGAATACGCAGACAGAATAGTGCATTGATGGTCGATGATAAACATACTGAATTTGAATTATATGCTTACAGAGCAACCAAGATGTATGCTGCTGTTTGTATAACAATAACACCTTCACCAGCGGGCTTTGACGTGTTTATACACCTTGCACTAAACCAGTTCTCATGAATTGTTGTGACCAAGTCTGTCATTCAAATTTCCGTAAGTATCAGAAGATAAACTAAAATGCACCACTGTAGCAGATAAAGTTGCACAGTTCATAACTATACATGTACGAGTAGAACACAGTTTATTATCTCTCAACAGTAAACAGTCTAAAACAAGTATCAAGACCATCATGCTCCAAGAATTGTACCATAGCCCAAATCTCTAAAAGTCTTAAACTCATATTACTCAGTTTCAGAAATTTCATATGTCCTTACGGTAGAGGGCATAAAAGAAGTTGAAAAACAGAAAGCCGCAACTAATTATATAGGCAAACTAAATACAGCTGAGTTTGAGCTTACACTGATTGGATCCAATAACGAAGAGCTCTGTATGGAGCTTATTTTGTTTGATGAAGTCCATAAAGTTACTCAATTCAATGGGATTAGCTTTTATTCCTTCTTGTGCAGCACTGCCAGCACCAAATAGCTCAATTGAGAAATCCAATATTTTTGGAAATAAAAAAGAAAATCCCAGCTAAAGAAGTGCCACACAAAGCAAGCATGAAGTTTAGGAGGCAATGTGCACAAATTTTTCAGAAACAAATACTTAAATCTCCTCAACCACATACAGTATTAAAAATTAAAAAGAGATTTTCAAACAAAACACAAAACAACTTACAATGTCACAACTACTTTTGCTTGTGGATTAAAAAATATAATGTAACAGTAGCAGCTTTGCTGAATCGATACAGTGATATTAACCGGGCAGGACATTGCATTTGATCCTAAGGAATGAACCTGCTATAAACTACTGAAGAAGAAGGAGCAACAAGAAGAATCTGCACGGCTTACAAAGCACTGATTCATTACAACATGGCTTATGTTTAAAATATTTGACACTAGGACATCCATATATAAATATAATCAAATGAAACTAAATACAAACATGAAAAAAGATGTAATTGCTAATCAAGATTTAAAATGAAGCACTTTGCTCTCAATGAATAATCCCAAAAACGAGAAAATTAATTATCTATCAGCAAAGGTATATCACCTTCTCAAAAAAAAAACTTTCTAAGTTTTACACTTTCCTTATGATAATGAGTCGTGCTGAGAACAATGAAAAGGGCAATCATTTTATTTTATATTATATTCTGAGAGAGCTTTTTAAATGTTTAAAAATTGATTACTTTTACAATGTTGATCTCTTTGACGAGAATAGTCATATGGAGATATCAGCTCAAGTGTCTGAGCCAACAAAAAAAAAATAGAACTAGTGCTTAATGTCCGATACATCGTCATACAGGTGTAAAGGAGGAGTCGATTTTGAAAACGTGTTTGATACTCTTGACACCTTAAGTACAAGGAGTATCCGTGCTTCATGAGGCTAATTTGGGGTACTTGATGAAGCATTCATTCAAGTACGTTTCAAGCAACAACAGTGGCCCTTGTTTTATTGTTCGAAGTAGTTCAGGTTCTTGGAGCAATAACAATGGCAAAATCTTACTCGCTAGGTTAACCCTTATCAGAGAACAACCAGAATATACAGTTTTTCATCCAAAATAGCTAAATAAACACTGGTACCAATGAAAATTTTTATGATCAACATAAAATGGTATTATCGTGGAATTCCAGGGTAAGATGGTTGATTCATAACTCGTACAAGTTCAATATGAATAAAAACTCATACAAACTGCAAGATAAGAGCTTCAATTATTTATACCATAGACTGTAGGCAACCGATTTGCATTGCTTATTCATTCCATGTGCTTTTCCATCATCATATAGAAAAATCACACCAGATATAAAAAAAAACATAACAAGAATCAAACACAATCCTTCTTACATGGTAGATAACAATCGAGATGGTCCAGTGGGGTCATGGTTGATTAGCAAAGCAGCTTTTAACGGATGACCTAGAAGGAGTAGGATGTTTAGAACATGAGATAAATATCACCAAATTACAGTATTTACAAAATTAAATTTCCAAAGGGTGATATAACAAAAGAATACATATGTGCATATGAATGTGGCTTGAAAGCAAAATCTAGCTAACCAGAATACCCAACGTTGGTAGAAGCCCACTTATCCCATGTTTTATGCACGAACGCCCAATCCATTGAGTCGCATCTGATAAAGAAAGTGAAAAAGGTAAACAAAAAATTCAGGAATTAGATTATACTAACTTTCTTTGCAGTTTAACTCGAACAAAACAGGATAATTAGTCAGAAATAGTAGAATAGACATTGAATGAAAACCTAGATAGAAGAATGGATGAAGGAAGTAGAAACAGAGAGAAAGACTGAGTCTTGGATTCTGCCTTGTTCAATAAATAGTAGTTATATGTTAGGTTACAATCACTATTGTAAATTTTCCTATTATTTTATTAAAAAAATGAAAAAATTATTAAAACTGTTGTTTTGGAAAATATTTAATTAAGTTTTAAGTAAACTTGTACATTTTTATTTAAGTTTTATTTTTATTTTTTTAATTAATTTGATTATTTTTTTAGTTTAACTTTTTAACTGGTTATCTTGGTTTCTATTTTTTTTTCATTTTATTTATTTGTTTTTCTTTATTAAACAAATCAATAAAAAGTTGTTAAACATAGATTAATTAAAATTAATATAAATATTCATTTTACATTCACACATATCAATAACAGTAAATATTTTTTCACCTTCTCTGTTTAATTGCACAAAATACACCTGGTAGGCTATTAAAAAAAATATGTTTGCTGGAACATTTTTTTTGTCTTTTATGTTTGTGTCAATATCTTCGTTAACAGATATTTAAAAGATGGATAATGATACTTTAACAACATTTTTTTTGACAACATTTTAACATCATTTACGTGTCATTCTGTCATTGTTCCAAAATTATTCCACAGTCAATAATAATAATCATAAACACTAATATAAACCAATCACAGAATGATACGTAAATAATGTTAAAATGTTGTTAAAGTATGATTATCTTTAGAAGATATATGAAAGTTAAAATGTTACTTCCCTTATTTAAAACACATAATTTCATTCATTTAATTTAGTGCCACTAGAAAAAACTAAGACTCTAGAGTACATTTTTAATAATTAAATTTTATTAATAATAAAATTTTACTTCCTGTAGTTTTTTTTAATTATTGAATCCTAAAGTTTAATTTGTTATCATTAGACATGTTAACATTCAGTATACATATGGATAAATGTATGCATAGAAAGGCACAAAATAATGTTTTTTTTTCAGAAAAGTTAAAACTTAACTTATAATTTAACTTGTATAAATATTTTCATATAAGTTTTAAAACTATGTATAAATGCTGGTGAAAAGGTTTCTTGACAAGTAACTTATGTATAATTCACAAATTCATTTTACTTTGTGTAGGAATTACTCTGTGTATCGTACTGTCCTCCTACATGATCATTCTTGCCATTCTCCCATGACTGTTTTCCCATTATCGTCATTTCATGCCGTTCTTTCATGGCCTTCTTCCTAGACCAACCTTTCAGGTTATTCGTCGTCTTCCTAGGTCGTTCTCTCATGGTCATCCACCTAGGTTGTGTAAAGTAATAATGATTCATTAAACTGTTAATGTATATTAAGGTTAGACCGTCATTAGGTCAACTAAGAGTAAATGCTCATCACAACTATAATAAATAAAGGTCTGAGATATGACTTTAGGATCACGATAAGGAGAGCGAACAAAGTTGGACGATGGAGGACCACCGTTTGATCATCAAAACAAGTTGGAGTACTTTGAGTAAGGAACTTCAACCCTATACCCTAAACACCAAGATTGTATTTCATCACCGAACTATATAATTGATCATGGAGTGTTAATGTTGTTTTCATGTGTTTTCATATATTTCTCTCCTCTCTATTTTTTAACCTATTATTTTTCACCTTTTCTTTTGCTAAAATCAAATGAACATTTATGTATTTATTTAGATTCCAACCCCCTTTTACACCAAAAAAATCACTGGTATGGTTGAAGGAGTAAAAACAAAATTAAAGCATATGATTAAAAGAAAAAGGCAAGGGTGGTAGAATATATGATACAGCAGAGAAGGAGAAGAGAGAAAAACTGATGAAGAAGAAGAGAGTGAACTAGTAGCACTTTTCATCTCCTTCCCAGTTAGCCTTCCCCTTTGGACCAATTGGCCCCTCTTCACCATAAAGCTCAGTAGGAAACAATTCAAACAAATTCACCACAGATAATCTAACATACACAGGAAGCAGATCTATCAACTTGTCTATTTCAGAACGTGATTCATACACAATAGCAGGACCCCATTCTCTCATATACTGCAACCAACTTGGTTCTGCAATAGCTCCCTCACCAAGATACTCAGCAGCAACAACCTTGTATCTGCTGCTGGAATCCAATGTAAGTTTACTTCTACCTGCTTCATTCCTTGCTCCTATTCCAAGTTTGGATGCTCCCTGAAGGTAGCTCCCTGGATGAGGAAAACTTGCATGCCCATGCCTTGATGAATAAACAACTGCTTTATTTCCTTCAATAAACTCCAAGTTGAATGCATCCACCCATTCTCCTCCACTGTGCTGTGAAAAAAATACACACCATAGTTCTCCTGTGAAGTTGCTCACACGAAGGGTGAAATGCTCCCAGTCACCAACGTGTTCACCAATCTTGTTCATCTCAATGTTCACCAACCCCACTTGAAGTATTCCAGGTCCGTTGAAGGGGCAAAATACCCACATAGCAATATCAGTAAATGTTCCTCCCAAAGCTGGTTTTAAATGAACATAAAGTTCTGCACTCTCTATATCTCCCTTCTTTACATTATTTCTAGCATCACTCTCACTAGGCAAATCTATCCAAAAAGCACCATCGTTTGTTCCCCCACTTGGTAAGTTTGATCCCTCCTTATCTATTGCTTTACCCTTCTCACTGCCTCTTGAATACACAAGTGCTCCGTTTTTGAAAAACCATTGCACTGATGATGGCAGGTATATCTCATCAGGGTGGAAGTACACAGTGGGGCCGTAGTGGTTAATGAGTGCATGAACTTGGTCTATGTTTGGCATGGCATGTAAAGTGGAGTCAAGATTCTTCAAGCAAGCAATATCTTTCACTTGTTTATTGTCAGAATACGTGCTGCAGAAGAATGTCCCTACTGGTACACCTCTACTCCACATCCCTCTTTCACATGGCCTTGTGTTCCAAACCTTGAATGAAATTTTCGAAAACTTTGAGTTCATGGATAGTAATAGATCACAGGTCTCACAAGTTTCTGTCAGATCGGCTCGCACGCATCTAACTTTTTCAACTTCAGGTTCATCTGGTTTGTTAGTAACCATTATGCCCATTGCTTTGTATCCCAATGGAGGATTTGGCAACCAAAAATAACCACTTCCATCATGTGGTGAATCAGCACTCCATATCAAAGAGTAGTTAATTGGTTTTTTAAGAGCTGGAGATTCTGCTTCGGGTTCTGAAGATGTTTCACGAGCCACAAGAACATATCCTCTCAATGGCTGATCATTGGACTGGCAATAGTGACCAAGGCAGAAAAAATCATCTGGAATCTCCAAAGGTTTGTAAAATACAAAAGCTTGATATTTACCATGTGAGTTTTTGCTCCTCCAAACCCTCTCAAAATTCCTTATTTTCAAAACTTCTAGGCTTCCAAGGCTTATCCTTCCTCCAGCAAAACCAGAACCTGATACCATAGCATTCACAAACATTTGATGACACAACAATAGAAAATCAAGTAGGAGCTAACATAATTTAAGAATTATTGATGTCAAGAATTCAACTTTTTTCAAGATCTCTAGCCCACATAAAAGACAAACAAACATCTGCAGAAAAATAGAAAATAAGAGTGTGTTTCCAACAACTACTGAAAATTAAATTATTTCAATAATTCATTATCATAAGATAAAATTTATTGAAATCATTATATACCCTTAAAACAACAAACAAAATCATCGATTGTCATCATCTGGGCGACTAGTCCGATCAAATCAGTATCGGTGTATCGCCCTTAGTTTCATTAGTCAGTATCACATTAAAAACACTCTGTCCACACTCCCTTTAGTGTTAAGGCAATAATTAATGATAAGGCAACTAATCATGTTTAACCCCATAGGAAGTTTGGTACAGTTAATTATTATTTCATCATCAAAGATATGTTGTCTCTTAAAAACCTTTGACAAAATAGAGTGACACATAAATAGTTTCGAATCTCTTCCTTAATCTGAGCTAAAAAGCTGTTAATATTGCAACATCAGGAGCTCTAGCTCATGAAAACATCCAGACAATTACTACACCAAGAAGGATTATTCATGACTATCAATTTGGAACAACACAAGAATAGATGAAAGATTAAAGGAAAAAAGAACATGGTCTAGTTCCTCGTGTAGCATATATCACCATCCTAAAAAAGTAAATTAATTGTGTGATTGATTTAAGGTTTGAAAACGTAAATATCCAAGCTTCAGCTTCAATATTGTATATGCCAAAAGAAACGCAGCTGTTATAATCCAACAGATAGCATTTATTGGATATAGACCGATTCTGAGAAAAAGCAAGAACAGCCATTAAAGATACACAAAAAGCACACACCTTGTGGCCACTGTGGAAGAGGTGCTGGCAGAGAGAAGGGCTCTGGCTCAGAAGGGTAGGATTCAGGAACACTGTTCCACCAAAAACAGTCACAGCTAAACATCTCTGACACCATCACCAGCAAAGAAAGTGACAGAGATGGTTTATTCTTTAGAGTCCTCTCTCCACAACCAAAAGCTGGAAGAGAGAGGAGAATGATTTTTAATTTGTTGTTGATGGAAAACAAGAAAATGATTGAACTATTCTGCCCTCCTTTGTATCTTCGTTGACCAGTGACAACAAAAGAGGAAAAACATGCCGTTTAATTTTCTTTCACTCTTCTGTCTTAACATAAACTTTCCACCCACCCATATAAAAAAAATCAACTTTGTTGCATTTCACTTCTCAAAATATTCTTCTCTCAATTGGGCACAGTTTTATAAAAAAGAAAGAATATTAAATTTAGGAATTAGAGTACATATTTACTAACTTTATTTCTTAATCCAGTTATTTACGTGTAGTGAAAAATTCCTATGACCTTGGACCAGAACGAAGTGGATAATAATGGACGCGACAAGAAAAAGGGAAATGAAGTGGATGAAGGAAAAACAAAACAACAAACAGAAAAATGCGATTTGTGGGTTACAGTTGTGAAGTGATTGAGGATGTCAGCGTCAATTTGGATACGTGTCCCTGTCCCATCGTTGCGCCTCATAAAAAGCATATAATCGTAAACGACACGCTTTTCACCATTAATGTATTTCAATTACTTTGATCAAAGTTATGTTCTATTGCCTGCAATTTCAACGGACCATCTTTGAAAGGAAGGAAGAGTAATGAAATAAGCATCCTTAGCACAAAAGTTAAGGTTATTGTCTTATTCAACTAACATGAAGGAGCTCATTTGATCTTGTGTACCAGTCGAATAGGACATTTAATTAAGTTTAAAGAAAATGCCATAATTAAGTATGCTTATTGTGTGAGTATTATTATATTAGAGTGCGTATTTTTATAATAGTAACTATTTACTTTATGATATCATTTGTGATTATTAATTTTGTATGATTAAATAAAAATATTAGTAATAAAAATGTGTATAAATATTTTTGGCAAATTTGAGTTTATTTTCTATTTTTTGTTTTTCTATTATCTGTGATGGATTAATCCAATATAATTTATAAGAAATACAAATATTGTTATAATTATATTTTATATCCAGCTGGAGTTTTCAATATAAAGTAGGTAAAATTTTATACCCATTGAGAAGTTTGTGCCATCTAATTTCATTATTTTCATAATATGCTGATTTTTTTTAAAGAAAAATTGTTTATTTCGTGAGAATGTATGTCCTGGTTAAATTCTATTTTTTAGCCTTTTACTATTAATTATGTTTTCAGTTCAATAATTATTAATGTTCTTCCTTCAATTTCTATTATTTTTTTTATGAATCTTAATTCCTTTCAATCTTTTAGTTTATATTTCTTTATCTTAGTACCACTCTATATTAATACACCAAAGTATTAAAATAATCATTTGTGCATTTGTCTTTATTTGTCTTTATTTCTAAAAGATACGTAATTTCTAAAAGATACGTAAATTAAGTAAACTCAAAGATTGTGCATATATTTCATGAGTTATGACTATATATTATGGTCGAACAACCTATCTTCTACCTTACGTGATAAGGTGAATTTTATATTTTTTCAAGTTTTGGTCACTCACCAAAACTCTAAATATGAATCTCCTTCTATTTTCACAACTAGACATTTTTATCTATGAGTAGGATTCTAGAAGAATTAAAATAATTTATTTATAAAATCAACGTTAAATATACCCTAACTCAAAATCAATATAGCATTTTCTTCTTAAAAATATTTACACTGTCCTTATCCATATAATCAAACATATATTACATTTCATTTTAAATTTATCTATCATTCACAGCAATATATATATATATATATATATATATATATATATATATATATATATATATATATAAAATAAAACATGAAAACATAAATCAAGCACAAATAGAGGGTATATATTTATAATTAGTACAACAACGTTAACACAAGATTTGTTGTTACACAAGAAATTACAAAAATTCTCAGAAGTGGAATGCGCATGAAACTGACAGTTGCATCTTTTATAATAAAAGCCAATCGTGAATTAATTATAATATTTTGTAGTTTAAAATACACACTAAACCTACAAAAGTATATTGTAAATGCCCCTAACTATGACAATATAAAAAATATTAAAAATCCAAAATTATAGTTTCACAAAATTGGAAATTTAAAGGAACTTAATCTATTTTAAAATAAGTGTTTTAGGATAAGAAAAGACTATTACCTTATTTCAATTATCCTATCCTTTGTTCAAAATGTAATTAAACTCAAGAGTAAACGTTTGATTCTTTTACTACAGGTAACTCACCCATTATGATCCTTATCTTATTTTTAGTCATAAATCTAAGAGTATTTTCTGTTATACACGTTGATATATAAATTTAAAAAATGAGTATATAATCATTTTATTCCATTATTAAATAATATTTTAGATAAAATTTTGAGCTCAACAAACAACTCAAACACTAACAAAAAAAATTAACATAATAAAATTAAAAGATAATTAAATATTTTTATTCTAAAAAAAATATAAGTTGAAATTTAGCTTTTAAAAAATTGTATGTAATTTGGAAAAATAAACTTTTAAACACAATTTATATCATACCGTATAATTTTGGAATGAAGTGTTTAATTTGATTGTATTTTATTCTATGATGTACACATTCTCTTATTTTTATTATATTTTATTCTTATGAAAAATATAACATTGATTACTAATAATGAAAAAAATAAGAAGATTTAGATAAATAATTAAAGATGATGATAAAGAATTAAGAAAATACATGTAGGAAAACAAAAGGGTTTTGGTTTTGGGTGGTTGAATAGAAGAGTTTGTGTCCGAGTGTTCTATGGCATGCATAAAGTGGAGCTGCTTTCCTCAATTCCTCAAATAAACGATTCATCGTAGGTCAGTTCCGACGACTCCGCAGTCAGACGACTCTTTTCATCTCCGTTATTCCTCTGCCGGTTCCCCTTCGCGCAAGTAATCGTTATCTCACACCCAAACACCGTTCCAAAGCACGAGAACGGCTCGCGGCGCCTCGCCCCACGCCTAGGCGTCTGTACCACGCGCTGCGGCGTCTGTACCACGCGCTGTGGCGTATGTCCCACGCGCTGAGGCGTCTTTCTCACGTGCTGCGGCGTCTTCCCCACGCGCAGCGGAGTCTTCCCCACGCGTTGCGGCGTCCTCCCCTCGCGTTTCGGCGTCCTCCCCTCGCGCTGCGGCGTCTGCCGCAGCTTCATCCGCTCCTCACCGTAATCCTCAAATGCCGGAGAAAGCTCCGCCCTCCACTTCTCCATCTTCTTCACCACAGCCTCATTCCCGCTATTCACCGACCACCCGTCAACCATAGAACTTTCGGCCGTACGCGGCGGCGGCATGGGGTACCACCCCTTCGCGATCGCCGCAGCTACCACCGATGGCGAGGGCCCCACGTCCGAAATGAGCGAGTCTTCGTTGGAGACGCCGCCTTTCCGCACACCCATTTCCGAATCCTGCTCATCGTAGCCGTAACGTTTCGCAGTCCCGCGGTAGGTGTAGTCATTGATGGTGGAATCGTTTTTCTCGTTCTGACAACGTTGCAGCGTCAAAACACTAGCAGTTTCCAAAGGCGAGTGCTTTTCACGGTCCTCCTCGGTAATTACTTTTTTGTTTTTCCTAGTTTCCATTAGTTCATCGTCTCCGGAGGAGCTGAGTTCGGAATAGAGTGGCATGTTCCGCATGGTGTTGTCGAGGAGGGTGATACCGATGTTGAGGTTTCCCCGGGGGCGACCGGAGGGGCGGAGAATCTGGAGCGCGACAAAGCGGGGCTTTGGTTTCCGGCTTTTGGGGAGGAGGTTGGAGACGTGAACGGCGACGGTGCCGATGAGGACGGGGCTTAGCCATGTCTGAGCGTAGATTTCCATCATGATGACTGCGTTGTCGGAATTGAGGAGGTGGTCGTCAACGCGGAACACGAACTTCTCGTCCCACGTGGGGTTGGTGTTACCCTCATGGTCAACTTGGGTGGTAAGTCTGCGGTCTGGGTGGACCCAGCCCACAGCGTAAGCCCGAACGGGTTTGGAGACCTGGGGTAGATCTTGGGCCGAAATCACATTGATTTCTATGAGCTGGTATGGTCCAATCTGGGCCATGATTTTTGGAAGCTTCGACGGAACGGGACGGAGAAGATGGTGCTGCTACGGTGATCACACAACCACTCAGTCACTCTTTGCGTCGATGCAAAACTCTCTCTCATCGCTTGTTCTTATATAGTTTTGCCTCGTGAGCGCGTGGCTGCCATTCCAGACACATGCGAAGGTTACTTTTGTTTGTCAGACTTACTGGATCATATCACAATACAGGTGTGTCTTCTTTCATGCGCTGGGAAAAGAAAACCGAAAAAACAAAATTTTAATAATCATTAATTTTAAGATTAGGTTGCCTTGGAAGCTTCATCAAAATGCATCATTTTTACAATTTTTAGCCAAAGCTTCTCTTATTAAATTATTTTGTAATCAAAATTTAGCTAGTTTTAATTATTTTTATTTAAGAAAATATTCAACTATTTTAATAATTCATAATTTATATATTATAACATTATATTTAACGTAACATTTCATAATTTCACACTTGATAATTCATAATTGATATATATATATATATATATATATATATATATATATAAAACTTAGATTTCAACTACAAACTCATAAATATAACTCAAATTCTTCTAATTTATTTTTCTATCTCTTTCTTCATTGATAGTGGATGAGACGACATTCCTTCATCTGCTATCGACGAATTATACGATCATCGCACATAAACAAACACAAACAAGTAGGGTGAGCTAACATGCAACAAATCATTTATAAAACATGCATAATTACTTTGATACACTCAACAAACATCATATAATAATTATGTCAGACACCCTCATACCATCCTACCACAATCACACCATAGATACTCATCCTATCATACCACAATTCCTAATAGACACTCGTCCCACAATACTCAATAAACATCCCACAATACTCAATAGACACTCGTTCCACAATACCCAATAGACACTCATCCGGATGATACGTTGATGAGCGGTCACGGGAGGTTATGCACTTGCGATGACTTCTACTTCTTCTTACAAATACACTTCCAAAATACTCCATATCATCCACAAGGTTAGTCCTCAACACTATGTCCAAAATCGGCACATAGACCAGAACCTCATGCCCCTCTCACCACATAATTCATCCTTCTCTACTTGGGACTGGATGATTATTAGAGTATCAGGATGACCTCCAACAACAGGACCCTCAACATCAACATATACACAAATACCATATCATTACAAAATCTCTCCACGAGACTCATACCATGCTCATATTCCTCAACTCATATTATACCATTACAAAATCTCCTCATAATACTCATATCATGTTCAGATACATAAATTCAAATCCAATATAATAAATACAATCATCACAAAAATCACACAAAATGAATATATCACAAAATAAATTAACAATACTAAAATATCACCATAAATGGTCACCGGAGAAGAATCAAATGTTTGACGAATCAAACTTACCATAAACGCCAGTACATATGACTAGTCACAACTTACTGGATTGGACCAAGGCTGCTCTATGATCAGGGATGTACCAACTCTGGTTTTTAAGATTCCTCTATCCTACCATCACAATTATAATTCATAATTCCATATCTACCACAATAACATGAATTCATCAAAAATTTTCATTCCAACAATATATATTGCACAATAATTTAACAATACATAATTTGTTCAACAAGATTTAAGTTAAAAACTTGTCGAATAGACCTCCAGGAAAGAAAGGTGCGTCATAATGAACAACTTAAGTACCAAGTCTTTCCTCAACTAGTTTTAATAAATTTCTTATTTACAAATTCAAAACAACAACATATAATATTAACACAGAAATTCAATATAGATAGATATATAACAAGCACCTATGTTTTTCATTAGAATTTCAAGACATGAATAGTAATAAAACAATACTAAATCATAATATAAAAGCTTTGAAAGATCAGTTCCCCTACCTCTATTTCAGACTTAATTTGTTTTCCCGAAAACCCTCTAGAACTTCTACTCTTCTTGCAACTAAAAATTTGTTCCTAACTCTTTCTTCTCTATTTCTCAAGATTTTTCACTTGATTCTTCCTCTCTTTGCCCAGAATAAGCTTCCCTCTCATGGTTATTTATAGTCCACAAATTTTACTATTCAACGATTTTTTAATATTATTTATTATTTTAATATTATTTATTATATTAATATTTTAATCACCACGTGAGATATTGGATTCCTCAATAATGCTTTAAAATCTGAGTGTTTTATCCACTATCATTATTTTTAATTTTTTTTTAACAAAAAGATAGAATAGAATTTGAACCCTTCTTGAAATCACCACAATTTTCTACCAATTAAGCTACCAAAATTTCTTATTTAACTTTCCAGATTTTATTTTTTACATAAACTTATTATATTTTTCATTCAAAAAAATCTAGTAATAAAATTGTTACTAAATATTTTTTATGGATTTTGCTATTTCATTTTCAATTATTGTTTCAAAAGTTCGTGTTCCAAGTTTTCGTACAAAGTCTCCTGAACAGCAGTGATTGGTGTAAAGGTTTTTTTATTTGTGATTAAATATATATGTTAATGTTTGCGAAAACTAATCCTTGTAATATATTACTGGACTTTAGTATAATAATAAAAATTAAAAAGTTATTATTATCATTATAATTATAAAAAAAATATAAATAATTTGTATATTTTATATATAAATTGTTTTTATTTATTTGTAGATAAAATTTTACTATAAATAAATAATAAAAAATATTAAATTTAAAAAGACGTTTAAAAGGTAAAATTCATGAAATAATTATTTTAAGTTTAAAAAAGTAGTTATTTAAAAAGTAAAATAAAAATAAATGTATGAATCAAAAGAGACAAGTAGTAAAAATACATGTATTAGTGCTAAAAAGCTTTTTTATTGCAAAAAATTCAAAAAAACTTGGTTCGCATAATGTAGCATAGTGCTAAATAAAGTATCAATCCTAGGATTACGATAAAATCAAGTTTAAGAAGTTAAGAAAAATTCTTTTATTATTTACTATTTATTATTAAATAAGGTGGGGACATTTAATCAAAAGAAATGAAATTTTAAAAGAAAAAAAATCTAAAATCTATTTAAAAGAAGAAAGAAATATAAAGTGAAATAAAATAAAAGAAAAGAAAAATCTAAAATACCTAAAACAAAAACTAAATCTGGTATTCTAATTAGTATGATCTAATGATGTATAGAGACACTAAACATGTATGATACACTCTAAAAACACAAGTGTTAATCAGATTAATCAAATAGTTAAAGATTATAATAAAATCTACAGTGATATTGGTACAAATCTCAAAAACTGAATAAAAAAGGAGTATAACAATCATCTAACTTTTACACATTGCTCATGGAATGAAAATATTATATGACTACTCTCAATTAGATCAATAGGAACTATTAGAAACTAACTAAACAAAACTAACACACTAACTAAACAAAACTAATCTGTACAAATTACAATCAAAGTAAAATCAATTTTGATAACCTAAACTAATTCAATCAAAAGCATCTAATGCAACTCTAAACTATATCTCAAGCATCAATATAAAAAACTAGAACTTTTATTTATTATTTTAGCTTTTGCTCATTGCACCCCTTTTACTAATTATTTTAGCCTTTTCTGCATCCACTGCTTAATTCATTCACCCCTATAATTTCATTTCTTGATTTACCTACTTTTTAATTAAACTCTTTTTCTTTCACACATACATTTTGAATATATATACATATATACATATATATATATATATATATATATATATATATATATTATTTATATTTATATTACTATGTTGAATATTCAAGTAATTAAAATCACACCAATTATAATTAATGTAATAATTATTTTATGAATTAAAAAATAGAAAAAATTACTACTTAATAATTTATTAATATAATTGCAGTTTATTGATAATTTTAATTGCATTTATTTTTTATAAAATAAATCTGTAGTATGTTTAATTTTATTTGTAATAAAAAATACAGTATAAATTTATCACATAAACTTTAAAATAATTATTTTTGGTTTTTTATATTGTCAACACCCAATAATGAAAAAATAAAATAAAATAAAAAGTTATAAAAAGTTAAAACAATAATGATTAATGGTGGTGAAAAAAAAAAGAAAAAATTTAAATAAAATAAATTTCTTTAAAAGAATATACAATTTAATTTTAAAACTTTAATTTCTTTAAAAAGAATATATAATTTTCAAATTTTAATTTAGCTAAAAGAATTTTATGCATATCTTGATATTCCCGTTGCTTTTCATACCCCTCACGTAACAGGTCACTAGAAAATATTTTTGAAATGTGACTTTTTAGATAAAGATATGATTTTAATACGATAATAATTTAAATCAATATTATACTAATAATTATAAGTAATATTCCTGATGATAGTTAGAAATAATATATTGATTAGTGTTGTTAGAATGGTTAAAACCCCGTGAGCTAACCTGATCCATCACGGGTTCGGTTCGGGTTGGTTTGAAAAAATGAATTTTTTTTATGAGTCAATTTTCAACCCGACTTACCAACTCACTTAATTTAATTTAATTATTTATTATTTTTTGTTTTAATATTATTAGTTAACATTTTTTGATTGTATTGTAGATGAGAATAAAGAAAAAAGGTGTTTCAATAAAGCAAAATATTATAAATTTATCCATTGAAGACTCTAATGTTATAAATGAATAAGTCACAAAAAAACTATCAATATTACGTCTTTTTGTTTGCTTTTAGATTACATTTGAGTTGTATGTTAATTTTTTTATTTTGATTTCTCTTTAGAGTTTAACATCATTTTAGAGTGAATTTATTTAAATTTGAATTACAAAAAAAATGTATGTTTTAAATTTAAAAAAAAACTTATAATTCATTGAGGTAGTGGGCCAACCCGTTTAACCTACTGACCCATTGTGGGTTGGGTTGGACTCAAATTTTTTCAGTTCGCTAATAAATGAGTCGGGTTGGGTTTACTCACTAAATGACCAATC